TCTCTTATTTTTGTGTCCTGAATCCCCCATTGCAATACTTCCCACTTTTTAGGATACACCCTGTATAATTTACATTATTCTATTTTTATATTTTTCTGCAAAATTGGACCAATTAATATTATGACTAGTTAAAATTCTATTTATAATATAATTTGAAAAAATTGTGCAAAATTAAAATATTCCTGCAGATTAATATAGTAGTGAAATGTTCCCAATCTTATAAAGAACTTTTTGTTTTTAGAAATGTACGTATAGACANNNTGTAGTTATACGTATATTCTTATGTATATTATTTTATTCATATTTTTATTTTACGGCAATATATTAGCAAAATCTTTTTCCATACATCTCAATAACCGAATTAATATACGGCTGTTAATTAAGTGATCGTCTTAATTATGTATAGCGAGATGCCGAGTATCGGTGAAAGTACTTATTGATTGACAAATCGAAAGTAAGTTTCTACTTGGCAGCTATTCGGCCGTCGATTGGAGTTATTAATATATGTATGAGGACGTGAATATTTAAGTATTTACACTGTATATGCATATTACACCCACATTACAAAAACGTCCGACGAAATGCGTCAAGATCGACGGATTATTTATGCGCCTTCGTGTCGCAAGAGAAAGAGAGCGAGAGCGACATAAAGAGAGAAAGAGAGGAAGATAAAGAAAAAGGGAGAAGAATTTTCTACGGTTTGTTTCCGTAATAAATATAATTGACGCGAGAGAGCTCGAACCCGGATCTCAATTTTAATTCGGCTCCAGATTCGAATTATATTAGGATACGTCGGATACGGACTACGCGCGCGAATTCGACAAGTCTGATTTGTGCGATACTCGAGTAATCTGCGTAATTCAATGAAAGAGAAAGTAGTAGTATTAATGTATATGTGAAAGTATGCGCGCGGCCGAGAGGACACATTTGCAAAATAATATTTGACGGTCAGACTGTTCTCTCACCGTGGACCGTGGCGCTTATCGTGGAAATCGAACGCATCGTGAATTTTCGGTGTTTCGCTATACATACCTTGCACTTTCTCCCGGTCACCGCTGTTAATCCTTTGCAATTGCTGTTATTATTTTTGTCGCCGCTTTAACAGCCGCAAAAGCAATATCTTTTAAGTTTGGAAGTGGAAAGCAAAAATTTTTTTATACGAAATATCGCGATTACGAATGTCTACATTATTTCACATATATGTATAAAACAATAAAATATGTGACAGTAAAAAATCTCGTCTTTTTGCATTTATAAAATTAATAAAAATATGTAAAATTTATATAAGATATTTCTCTCACGATGTAGTTTCTACAATTACAATTACAATACAAATTAATATACAATATTTGGTTTATTAAATTATAACAGAAACTTCTATAGAAAAAGGAAATTTATAATTATTAAAATCATAACTATGTTTCAAAACTGCATTAAATTTTTTAAATAACATTTCTAATAACAAAAAATTATATTTCAACCGCGTTATTGCAGAATATTGAGTCATTAATATGACTAGATTGTTTAATTTTTTGATAAATATTGTTATATGTAAAACTGAATTCTTTTTTATTTCAAGATTTCTAAATTTATTTCATGTGATGACACCGTTACAGTTTATTTCACAGTGAAAGTTGAAAAACTCATTTATCAGTGGAAAATGAAAAGAAATAGAAAGCAGATATAAACAAGCGATTTAAACATTTTTTAAATTTATTATCGATTTTAGCTGGCTAGGAATTTAATTTCATTCAAATCAATTGATTGTTTCCCATGGGAAGGTATCTTACGATTGTAGCTTTGGAAGCTGTCTCGAGAATTTATTGCGGACGACGAATTATCGCGTCAATTTGACAGGCGCATCAAGTTGGAGTTTTTATGGTATAATTTTAAATGTGAATAGAACACGCGCGCGAGACAACTCTCACAAAACATTCACGCTGTCGTTGAATTGCAAAGCAAATCTTTAGATCATCGGAGGCTATGGAGAATATGGGAAATCCGTAATGCGTTCATCGCGTTCGTCTTTCAAGAGAGAATCGAATTCCACGAAAACTTTTGCGATGAGACGCACGCGTGTGACTCATGAGACACCGCAACAAGATACATATTCAATAGTCTGATTTTTTTATTGCGAATATACATATATTAGTCGATCGTTATCCGTTACACATCCTTGATTATATATTTTTCCGTTTGTTTCGCGTATGGGCTTGATGCAACAATAATCTTCCATAATTGAAGGGAAGGGCAAAGAGAAAAATTCGATTTAATTTATTTGTTTAACAACTATTATAGAATTAATGTTAAAGTTGAGAAAAAATAAAATTTAAATTAATTTTTATAATCTTTAAAAAAATATTGTATTACTTTTATGTTGAATTATACCATTCGAGATTTTAATTTTGTTTGATTCAATAAAAACAGAATTGGTATATGACATTTAATTTAAATTATAGATAGAAATACAATCTCGTTTAAAATCGTCAGAATTGGTATATGACATTTAATTTAAATTATAGATAGAAATGCAATCTCGTTTAAAATCGTGAATAACCAGCAATAATACCAATGGAATTTCGCTAATATCAGAATACAGTTGAGTCTTTACTCTTGTGTTTGTCGACCTAATGTGGCCCTGACCTGACCTAATCCTGCAAGATGACATCATAGATAGAAGAATGCGTTAGCACTTACACTGACGCGGACAAAAATAAGAATTGATTTTTTATATAATATGCATATAGATATTCGGAGAGCTGTATAATTTTCATATAAATAATCAAATAATAAAGATCACATCCGTGAACGCGATTATTTTATCGTTAGAGAATATGAAACGAATCGAAAGTGTTCCCTATTTAATACGCCTCGCTACCGATATCTGCCATCCCACGCGCTTACGCAATATTGGAAGAAACATACAAGGTGTATCGAAAATCATATCTTGTTTTTGAATCACTTAAAACTACCATTTGAATAATCAATTTGAGATGCCGCATATACGATTACATTGCGTCTGACACAGTCTGCATATATTGCGAAATATTGAGAGATAACATCAATACACGATATACAGGGTGTTTTCTAATAAGTGGGAAGTATTGCAGTGGTGGATTCAAGATATAAAAATAAGGAAAAAAGTTTATATAAACATATGTCCGATATGACCTTGTTTCCGAGTTATAGCCTATTTTATTTTCCAATATTTTCAACTTTTCCGCATAAGTCTAATTCTGACAGCATTACCATCAGAAAATCCATATATGAGATGCATGTCTGCCATTTCATTGTTTAACCATGTCATAATTTTTATTTTAAATGTAGACTATTAGTTAACAGCGCCTACGTACGGTACGAATATTTTAGTTTCACTGAGCACGAGATACGAACCGTATCACCTACAATACAAATAACACATGTTTATGTTTATAGATTAGCAAGACCTCAAATACTTCGAATCTTACAGATAAACAGCAAACCGATAATCAAGTTTACTATCTTAACTCTGTTAGAAAATAAAACAGGCTGTAACTTGGAAACAAGGTCATATCGGACATATGTTTATATGAACTTTTTTTCTTATTTTTCTATCGTGAATGCATTACTGCAATACTTCCCACTTATTAGGAAACACATTGTATATATATTAGAATTACATATAT